TGTGGACATTGCATGACATGAGTTCACTTACATGCATGCAAGCAATACACTCATACACATAAAATAAAAATAAATAATAATAAAATAATAAAAATAAATACATAAAATATTTGAAAATGTATATGCTTATATCATGTAAATCTGAACACAGAATATACACATTGGGAATGGCTCTAGATGGGCTGACTAGACTCCAGTGGATGGACTTGCACCAAGGGACACCTGGTTAGAAATGCTTGACCAGATAGGACCTCACATTTATGACAAAATACCTGAAATCTAGTGGGAGTTGAAAAGGGGGCAAGAGGTCTAAATTTGATTAAGTTGTATTATATGAAATGCAAAAAAGAAAAACAAAAAATAGATAAATGTATACATATATGCACAGTTGTAGGCTGAATAGAAGGAATAGCAAAATTTTATTAAATGGATATATAAACAGCAAAACAAGGTAGGAGCCCTGTGCTGAATACTTCATTATTTTATTTCTGTACAGCCTGTGACAAGTCCTTTATTTTCTGTGAGTATATTCTGAAGTCTTAACCCCTTGTCTCCCATGAAATAAATAAAATCTTGTTGAACAATTCTACCTATGCAGAAATGCTAAATCTTCTCTCCAAGGTCTAACCAAATTGATAACAGGGATTACTGCACTTGGCTGTTTTCTTATGGTCCTTAACAAAATGATAACAGGTCTTAGTCATCCTCTCAATCCCGGTGGCTGGGCGTTGGAAGGAGAAAAGAGGAAGGGGGGTGGCAGTTCCCACTTGCCTGAAGCCCACGTTGGCCTGGTACCCTGGGTGGCATGGTTGAAGCCCACTGTATTTTCAGATATAATTTATCACACTTAAAATCAGTAGCAGTGACAGTTTACTATGATGCTCTGTGTATGTGTGAATTATTTTTGTATGAGCATATATAGTATATACAGATCTGTGCAGGATGTACATTTACATATGCTGAAACAATCTCTGCAGTATTAAATTATAAAATAGAATATTTGGGAAATTTACGATTAGAACATTAGAATAGTTTATTTCTTTGATTTTTATAAAACTCTTCATAATACATTGAATCTAATTCTAAGCATGTGCACAAAAGCTATTATATAAAAGATGAAACAAATGATCATTAATGATGAAATATCAGATATTTAAAACATAATTGCAGGATTAAAACAACATTATCAGGAATGCATTTTATGGATTGTAAAAGAGGCAAATTATTAATGAATAGAAGAATAATTGAAGACACAATAAAAATGAAGTTATAGAAGCACATTGTATGTCAAATATATGGGTATCTGGTTTACCAAAGTAAATAGACTGACGCATGTATGGCTGCAAAGGAGCAAAATTGCCCAAGTAAAGAAAGTTCTAAAATTTCCCAAACCACGCTGTTCAGGCAATGACAATAATCATCGTTTCATTAGAATCTTCACAATTACGCTATATGGTTGAAAACAGTAAAGTGATGTCTACAAACATTTGCAGGGAATACTGACTTGCTGTGTGACACAGATGTCCCAAGCCTCATGAATGGAAACATCCCCATGGTTTGTTTTTCCATTTTGTATGTAGCTCCTCCTATTCGCTTAAGTGCAGTAACCACTAAAATAGAATAAAACGCTTCGTCTGCTCCACTGTGAATTTGGGATCCTTCAGTGTGTATTAAATGATTATTACATCTTGGGAGAAAAAAAAGAATGAGAAGGCATGCAAATATATTATGCGTTATACTGCAATGTTTTTAAAAGTAGCTATTGATCATCTGAGAATGTGGTTGATTCTCCTGTTACTATAAAAGCAAAAGAACAATGTTTGAGTTGACTTGGGTATGGCTCCTTGACTGAAATAGCCTCCATGGGCCACACTGATTGCTTGATACTGCACAGAGACCTCCTTCAGTTCTTACCCTGATAGACTGATAGACAAATGAAAATATGCCTGTGGAGATTTGAGGTTTCCAATGTCACATTTCAAACTTCAATTCTATGAAGCTGTCTTCTGGAAAACAGCCACACACTATAGTACCTTTGCACATGCTGTTCCTTAACTGATTGCTTTTCTTGGCTTCTCAGAAACATATGGCTTGCTTTCTCTCCTTTAGACATCACCTTAAATTGTACTTTAGTAATCCCCAGATGACCTCACTTAGAATTACCAGTTTATAATTATCTATTATGCCATTTGTATATGTACTCATTCTCTTTTACACTTTCTACCCGGATAAATACAGAAATGCTTTGTTAGTTCCATTTACTAGTGATCCTTAGAACACTGTCTTCCATATAGTAGAAGAGACATCCATATTTGTTCAATGATCAGTTGGTAAAAGTCACATATCTTGTTGCACATACTAAGTGAATTATTGTCCCTTAAGGATAAGCCATCCAGGATGGAGCCCTCAGCACTCAGCTCTATAGCATCATGTGCTTCCATAACCTTCTCTGCTCTAGTCTCATAAGAAAAAATAGAGCAATCATCTCATATGATTTGAAAAATAAAATAATTAAATCTTATGTGGTGGATCTTTATATTTTTTTAGCTTCAATATTGAGATCAATAGCATGGTGCAGTTTATATATATATTTTTGGTAAGAACTCAGTGGGAAGATGATTAAAATAATTAGTCTCTTCATTTATAAATCCAGTTTCTACTTGTAACAAAAGATCTCCAACAGAATAGCAGGTTATATGACTCAATGTCATGCAACACTTAGAAATTTCTTCACTTTAGAATATAACTGATTATTGAGGTGTGACGATCTTATCATAGTGTAGTACTTCACTTTGGAGCAAAATTCTACTAAATAATGTATGTATGTTAGTTGTACATTGTTAATATGATAGATCCAGTTTTAGTGAGGAAATTAGTCTATATGTTTAGGGGTCATGATGCTGCCCCACCATCTTTGATGAGTTTAAAATAAATAATGCAAAATCACTTCCAGGCTCCTTACTAGATTTAAAAAAGGGATGTTAAAAGATATCAAAAGACAGAAAAAATTTCAGCATGTAAAGAAATTTCCCTAAATGTTGGGCATCTGCTATCAGAATCAGAATACGGGTCATCAGTGTCTGAGAATATTTGATTTCATGAGAAAGGGTTAATTCTGATCCCCGAGCTTTCCAGTCCCCACTATTCTCCAGGGTCTTCCAAAGGCTTCACTCTGGAGGTTGTGACATCAGTGAAAAGCACTTCCCTCCTAAGCAAAGTGAGATCAGAAGAAAGAACAGAATATTTTCAACTTCTCCAGCTTTGCAAGCACATCTGAGGACATCGATCCTTTTTGGTGACCACCGGAACTTAGGGAAGAGAGCAGTAGGTGGTATAGTATGTGAATTAATGAAAACCTTCTGATTGCGGAAAACAGGTGAAAGGAACAATGGTAAGAAGGTATTGATGTAATAGCATATCCATTTGAGCAGCAGTTACCTGCACTGCTTCTTATAACGACATACAATATCCATGTGCAAGTCAGGCATTGGACAGCTCTGATACTCTGGGTATCACAAATCTTCACCGACCTGGATTCTGTCTGTTTACTGATCCATCAATGTCCTTTCTCTTTGTCTTTTCTCTTTCTTCTGGTTATATCTCCTGCAAATACTTTTAATCCATATTTCAGATTGGATAAACAGCTCCAGGGGAAATCTGTTCCATAGGAAGACAGAACAACAAAAGCACTCAAACCAAACCATTCAGAAAGTACCCTTCACCACTAGCAACCTAGGAAAACACAGTCTTAATACTTGTTCCTTCCCCCACAAATAGAAGGTCGTGCTAACCATGTTGCAATGGCATAGTCTCCAGGTATGCAAATCAAGTTTTGCAGACGTCTAATCATAAAGGTAGCAAGTTCCCTTGTGTTGGGATTATTCACAACTCTGTCAAGATGTTTAGAGCCAATAAATAGCAATGAGGATTTCATGTCTACTAATTTCTGTTATGAATCCCTGACAAGCTGAGCTGTGGGGTGTTTTAGTCTTGTCATGTTCTTAACAAAGGATAGCCATGCTGCTCATGAATAGTTCTCCTGTGCAAAAATTTTCTTATTTCTTCTCTGGAGGGAGAATTTTATATTCAGGGAGTAAAATCATCCCTCTATAGAAAATTTAAAAAAAAGAATAAGAATAACTTAGGTGGTAAGAGCAATAGAACTTGGATGCAGCGCATGTCTTTTTCAAATATTTGGCCAGTTGCATACACAACTCTAGTTATAAAGAAGAAATCATTTTAAAAATGTAGATCTATTGTATCTCTTTCCCCAAGCCCTGTAATTACGTAGTCAAATTTGCTCAAATTCTGGATAATTTTCTAAACAGTTTCTTTCTTTCTTAGAATTCCTTTCTTCTCTTCTCTTCTTCTTTTCTTTTCTCTTCTCTTTTCTTCACTTTTCTGTTCTGTTCTGTTCTTCACTTTTCTTTTCTTTTCCTGTTCTGTTCTTCACTTCTTTTCTCTTCTGTTCTTTTCTGTTCTGTTCATCTGTTTGCCAATGATTAATTACTGTAATTTAATGTTGTCTCCTTCCTGTCCTGGGGCAAAATTTCTTTCCTAAGAGTCACATGCATGAAGGAGAATGAAATTTGGGTCTCATTTCCTTGGTTGTTTCAGGAGAGAATGTCAGGGTAACAGTTTGGTACAAGCAGACGAGGAGGGACTCAGTGTGACGGAGCAGTGGGCAGATGGCCCAGGATCTTACAAACTTGGGCTCTTCTTCTTTTGCGGGTGCATGTAGGTAAATTTCTGTTTCTTTCTGGTTAGCATCAGCCGGAAGGAATTTAAAAGCAGCAAGACCTACAATCAGGATTCGCACATTCCGTAATAATCAGACCCAGCTTTCCTGAGATCAACTTTGCTGGTGCTTCAGTAATAGGACTTTTGCCTCATTGGTATGAACACTGACAAAAAAGGAGAGATGAGAAGTCACCCAAGGGAGGAGACATGGTTGGAGCAACTGAAACAATGAATGACATCAACATTAAAAAAAATCTTAAAAAGCCCTAGTTTGCTGAACTAAGGGTTTTGTTTTTTGAAGAATCAATTCTGTTCCCCCCACAGAAAAGTGTTTCCTGTACAGCCTTAATGACTGCATCCTGTTTAAATGCTTTCTACTTTTGTCTAAGAAATGAATACTCATAAATAAAACAATATTTTTGCAAAATATTTTCTCTTTTTTTAATGAGACTTCATGTATCTAGCTACGAGGGAAAACTACTTTGAGTGACACTTTAGTACTTTAAAATGATGACGTCTGTAAGTTTGCCCACTATCTTTCAGTTCCACAGAAGAAACCTACTCTAGGTGATCTGTTGCAATCAGTCTTAGCTTAGAGCTCAGCAAATTCATGTTAGATACACTATTTGCTCAAATGAAGTCTAAAAGTTAATTAAACTGATGAGGTAATTATATAGAAATCTTGGGACCATTATTGCCACTACTTTTAGAAACGTTTTACTTTTTATTTTTATTACTGCCCATGTAGTAGTACAGTGTCCACAGAGGCCAAAAGATGGCATTGGATCCCCTGGAACTAGAGTTGCAGGCAGTTGTGAGCAGGCTGACATGGGTGCTGAGACCTGAACTCTGGTCCTCTGCAAGAGCAGTGCACATTCTATACATCTCTCCTACACAATCCACCTCTTTATTTGTTTTCTCCTATTAAGTTTTAGATATTTTCAGACCACTATGGTCCAGCAATCTGGATAGCTATGATACAAGTTTCTCTGATATAGTACTTTTTTCTGTGCAGTGAAGAAGGATGTTGACCACACACAGTGAATGTGATACACTTGGTTTATGATCTGTTGTGGCACAGCACTCTCAGAAGGATGGCTTCACACAACACCACTCTATTCCACCCCTCCTCTTTCCTCCTCCTGGGAATCCCTGGCTTGGAAAATGTGCATCGCTGGATTGGCTTTCCTTTCTTTGCTGTGTTCTTAATAGCTATACTTGGGAATATAACCATCCTTCATGTGATTCACACTGAACACAGTCTTCATCAGCCCATGTTCTACTTCCTGGCCATGCTGTCATCTATCGACCTCAGCCTGTCCAGCTCCACCATCCCTAAGATGCTTGGCATCTTCTGGTTGAACCTGAGAGAAATCTCATTTGAAGGCTGTCTCATCCAGATGTTCTTCATACACCTGTGCACTGGAATGGAGTCAGATTTGCTCCTGGCCATGGCCTATGATCGCTATGTGGCCATCTGTAACCCTCTTCGTTACAGACTGGTGCTGACAGACAAGGTTGTGTTCATCATTGCTTGGGTCATCCTACTGAGACCACTGTCTTTTGCTGTACCTTTCATCCCACTCATCCTGAGGTTACCGTTTTGTGGACACCAAATCATCCCCCACACGTACTGTGAGCACATGGGCATTGCCCGTCTGTCCTGTGCCGGCATCAGGGTCAACATCATATATGGCTTGTGTGCCATCTCTACCCTCGTATTTGACATTGTAGGCATCCTTATTTCCTATGTCCACATCCTCCGTGCTGTATTTCGACTCTCTTCTCTGGATGCCCGGGTGAAGGCGCTGAGCACCTGTGGGTCTCATGTGTGTGTCATGTTGACTTTCTACACCCCTGCCTTTTTTTCATTTATGACTCATAGGTTTGGCCAGAACATTCCGCGCTGCATTCACATTCTTCTGGCCAATTTATATGTGGTCATCCCACCGGCTCTCAATCCTGTAATCTATGGGGTCAGAACTAAGCAGATTAGGCAACAGGTGCTGAAAATGTTTACCAAGAAATAAAATCCGGCTACGGTACTTCTAAAAACTCAGACTCAGAAAAGAAATTGCACAAGTTTTCAATTTTCAAAAAACAAGGAGAACATTTACAAGGTATGCAGTCCTATGAGGGAGGGGGCTTGTTAGTTTGAAGACATTGGTCTCTTCAGCCTCCTAGTAACTAAGGTGAAGCCTATGTCATATGTGTAGGAAAAAATTTTAGTTTGGGGTCAGGGTTGAGACAGTGTCTCCCTTTAGCCCCATCTGGACTGGAACTTGCTATGGAGACCAGGGTGGCTTTGATGTCACAGAGATCCTCTTGCCTCTGCTCCTGTAGTGCTGGGATTAAAGGCGTCCTACACTACCCCAGGCTAGGAAAGTTTTTTTTTTTTTAATTTTTTACTTATTATTTTTATTATTTTATGTGTATGAGTGTATTGCCTGCATGTATGTGAGTGCACCCATGTCATGCAATGCCACGGAGGTCAGAAGAGGGCTTCGGATTCCCCTGGAACTGAAGTTAAGAATGGTTTGTAGCCACCATGTGGGTGCTGGGAATCAAACCTGGATCCTCTGCAAGAGCAGTCAGTGCTCTTAATCGCTGAGCCATCTCTCCAGCCCATTTGTTTGTTTGTTTGTTTTGTTTTGTTTTAATATTCCTAATCTTGAAGCAAATCATCACTTTGTGCTGCTTCTACTATGACTGAGCGACTGGCACATTAAAAATATAAAATGAGCTAAAGTTCGCAAACATTCAAACAAGAAACAAACTACTCCAGTCCTTTTATATAATACCTTTAAACCCCAAACTACGTCAGCCTGGTTAGAGCTAATCTCAAAATGAGGAATGCTAGAGCATTTTCCCAAATGTCTGAATTGACTGCCAAAAATAATGTATTCTTAATTGTGCTGAACTAATGTCAGAGATGTAAATATGACACTGAGTGTGACAATCATGACACAGAGCAGAAGACCTTCCATTATGAACTGAATTTTGAAATCTTTGCAATTTGGGTAAATGTGTTGTCTTTCTATTTATCAAGATGTGTTGTACCATTTACTTGCACAAACTTTTTGGAGAAAGTCACTGATAACAATTTGGAAGTAATGTATTCTTTTCAAAAAAAAAAAATTGTCTTTGTTTTCTTACTTCTAAAGGTGTTTCACTCTTACAGAATGCTGGAAATCCCAGCGAGGTCCAAGTCTAGTGCTACTACATTGCATTTTGTTTGTTTTATTGACACTGGCTCTATACAACATCACTTAGTATTTTCTAGATCCACGGAACATTATTGACATTATATAAGGAAAGTTTCCAAAGGGAGATAGCTTTGTGGACTTCTGATGAAACCCAGCTTTTTAGCAGTAATTTCATCTAAGGACATCTTGGAATTTTTAAACCAGAAAAACACATTTTCTGTTGTTGAAATGAGATTGTCTTCCAAATACACGTCTTTTATTCTATCGTATTTTTGTTTTATGTGTATGATTGTATTGCCTGCATGTTTGTAAGGCCACCTGTGTCATACAATGCCCACAGGAGTCAGAAGAGGGTGTTGGATTCCGCTGGAACTGAAGTTATAGATGATTGCTACCCACGATGCTAGTTCTGGGAATCAAACCCTGGTCCTCCACAAGAGCAGCCAGTGCTCTTAACTGCTGAGCTATCTCTGCAGCCCCTAAATACACTTCTTAGACCATCTGATAACATGCTTATTCTGTAGAATGAACTTAAGGGGAAAAAGTAATACTTAGTGTCATAACAATAGAAAATATGATATTAAAAACCATTACAGAAAACTTGAATTAGTTTGGCTTGCATCTTGAATTAGAAATTCTTTTGGAAATTATCCAGCAGTTCTGTCATATAATTATATACACAAGCGACTCTTCCTGGACTACTACTGAGAGATTAAACTATGTGTATTACACCTTATCTAAGTATTTTTAATGACTTTTTATTTGCACAAATGTTTTGATTGCCAGTATATTTATTGGTATGTGTGTAGTGCTTGTGAAGGCTGGAAGCTGGCAACAGAGACAGAGACAGAGCCACCATGTGAGTACTAAGATTTGAACCTGGTCCCCTGGTTCCATGTAATTCCATGTAATTTGTATTTCTTGTACAAGATGGAATTTGTAAGTTTGAAAGAATTTTCAAGGGTAGCCATGTAGAACTGGCATTTTCTATTAGGCTTCTAAATACATGTTCTATTTCTTTAATAAGTACATCAGTATTGAGTCCATCCATTTCTTCTTGATATAAATGTCAGCTGTGAGAGCATCGTATGTGAACATTCTCATTGTTATATCTTTTTTATAGGGTGTTGGTTTGGTCAGAGACTCTCAGTGTCTACCCCACTACCTGCCTTAATTCTTTCCTTTGTTCCTCTATCACAAATAAACCCAGTCCCATGTTTGTTAGGCTCCCTTGGCAGATCATGGCTACCCATGCCTGCATACCTGGTTTTGAACACCAGGGGATACTCTATTTCTTGTGCTGGTTCCAGTTCAGTCTTAAACAAGTGATGTTATTCAGTGTCAGAGCTGGAGTCCTGCCACTCCCACCCTGCATACTAGACCCTAGTTCCTGACATGCTTGTTCCTTAGAAGGGGTAAAGGAGATCTAAATGCTCAAGTGTGATCCCCATCCTACAGTGGACACTGTTCTCTTTTACCGAGCCTATTCCATAATGAAGGATTCTCTGATCTCTGATCCTGTCCCTAATCTTTCTCAGGATCACCTGGGAGTGGTCTACAGTGAATCATCAATGAGTCCCTGCTTCGGTGTAGATACGCAGGAATCAGTCATTCCGTATTCTCACACAGGCTCAAACTCCAGTTCTAGAATTATGCTTTGAAGTTTGAACAAACACCCTTATTTGGTTCTACAGCATCTGTTACCTCTCCCTGAAAACCGAGGGACTGTGTCTCATCTTCTCTATCTCTTCTTTTTTAAAAATTTGCTTCTCTTCTCTTCATGGCCGTTTGCTTTTCCTTCTCTTTTTGCATCCTTTTCCCTTCCCTTCCCCCTTCCCCCAGGGCCCTCCCTGCCCTGCCCTGCCCTGCTTTCTTTACTTTTTTCCCCCTTTCTTTTATTTATTTGTGTGTGTGTGTGTGTGTGTGTGTGTTTTAGAGATAGGGCCTTGATATGTTATAAAGGTTAGCATGGAACTAACCAGGCCAGGATGGCTTCAAACCCTAAACCTCCTGCCTTTTAGCTTTCTGAGTGCTAGGATTGCAGATGTGGCCTAATCTGCTGTGTAAGTTTTCTTAGAGCTGACTGTCCACATGCCTCAGCAGTTAAAAGCACTGGCTACTCTTACAGAGGACCCAGATTTGGTTCCCAGCACCCACATGGTGGTTAAGAACTGCCTGTAACTCTGGTTCCAGGCACCCTCTTCTGGACTCCATGGGCATTGCAAAACACTTGCACATATAAAATAAAAATCAATAAAGAAAAAAATTTAAAATGCTGACATAGCTCAGTTGAAAACTATGTGATCTGAGACAAGATCTCCCTGTACCTGCAGCTGGCCTAGAACTTGTCTCTGTCTTACAGAGATATGCCTGCCTGTGCCTCTGGAGCACTGGGATTAAAGGCATGCCATCACCACACCCAGCCACTTTCTGAATTCTTAATTTAGAACACTTTATTGAAGAATGTGGGGACTAGATTGATAACTAAAATGGGTGTTTTTCAGACAAAAATAAAGATACAATATTCATCAATCTGAAATACATGTTTATCTGTTTGGATCAATGTTTGCAAACTATAGTAGCAAAGTGCTTTTCTCCTCTTGGCTATTCTTATTGCAGGTCTTTGGAGTGAATCTGGTGATTGAATAAGCACGGAACTATGTCCCTAGCTTTTTAATACTCTTAATATTAAATTATTATAAAGCACATTCTTTCTTCACATCTATGTTCTTTATGGTCTTGAGGCACAGGCTTGAAAATATTGGAGTATGATAATTTGAATAAAACTGCCCTCTACATTCTTTCTGATAATGATGCTGTGCTGGATATCTTTAGTGTCAACTTGACACACCTGGGTTGAGGGAGCCTCAATTGGGGAACTGCCTCTATTGGACTGGCCTGTGGCCATGTCTGAGGGGCATCTTCTTGATGAGTGATGTGGGAGGGCCCAGCCCACTGTGGGTGGTGCCACCCCTGGGCAAGTGGGCCTGTGTTGCATAAGAAAGCAGGCTGAGCAGGGGCCAGAGGAGCAAGCCATTAAGCTGAGTTCCTCCATGGCCTGTGCTCCAGCTCTTGCCTCCAGGTTCCTGCCCTGAGTTCCTACCTTGGGCTCCCTGAAGAACTGCGACCTGGGAGATGTAAGCTGAATAAACCCTTTCCTCCCCAAGTTGGTATTGGTCAGAGTAGTTTGTCACAGCAATGAGGAACAAACTGAGACAGATGCAATCTATGAAATCATGAGCTCCTTCACACTTCTGTGTGCAACAAATTTTCCAGGACCTACTGGAAATATGTGCATAGTTTTAGGAGGTTTATGTTTAGATGTCTGGTCTCTCTCAATCCAAGCTAGAACTTCTCCACAGTTTCCACATAAATAAGAAAGTCTGTACTCTCAACTCACATCTCTACTCTTATATTTTACTAACCCTGCCTATGATTGCAAACTTTGCCTTAAGCAAGTCAATATGCTAGACAGACTTTGAATCTTTATTTTTTTACTTATCAGCCAAGAGATTATATGAACATACCACATGTAATTATCATTTGGGTACTGATACTAATTCTGAAAAAATTGTGATAATTGGTGAGTTAGGTGAAGAAACCCCCAAAATACAGGTAAATGTTTAGAGTCAGTTAATAAACAATGTTTCTTCTCATAGTTTTGTTTTGAGGGATGAAGACCATAGTGGACATTTTCTGAACATTATGAAGTTTCTCTGTGTTGTCATTCACATAACCGGTTCAATTTTGGAACCTATACAAACCATGTAGGGAACTTAAAACCTGAGTGCCAGCATATAAATCCCAGCATGCTTTGTCTTCTC